AGGAAACCTATTTTGAGTTTTAAAAACTTCGTTTTTTTTTTTTTGGATTTTCTAATGAAAGATTTCTAAAGAAGGAACTAAAGAAAAATATTTTTGGATTTTTGAAAATTGGGGTCGGAACCGATGAGGTTTGCCTACGTATGTATCTCACATCCGGTGAGAATCAGACCCGCTAGTTCTGTCAAAACAAAAAACCACTATAAAACAAAAAAAAATTCTCTTTTTTTTGTCAAAAATCCGGCAGAGTTTCAGTATATTTTGGGGCATTGGTTTTTCAAAAACAGACAATTATTTCTCCTAGTCCTCACATTGACTTTCCTTCTCTCAACTTTTCCTCTATGAGCCGGTCAACATGCAAATCCGAAGCAAAAGAATGCACAAGTAGCAAGTAAGATGCATCAGGATGGTCTTTTCGTTTCGGGTACGCCTGTCCTAGACAAACCCAACCCCTGTGTTGAGTCTCCAAAGTCAAATGCACATGATGCAAACAAACGTTCCTACTAGGGATCCGGCATGAGGCTGAGTTATTCTAAGTTCAAAACCTGGGTATATGTTCTAGACTGTGTACCCGAGCGAACAACTCGAGCCGAGGAGGGGGCTACGTACCGGGAACCAAAAGGCCATCCGGCTTAGTAACTTGTCCGAGCCTCTTTCTTATTTCAAGGTATAACACTAACAGAATAGGGAGCCTCGACCAGCGAGCACATCCCCGAAGATGAGAAGAGAAGGGTTTCGTAGCAGTTTATATACAGTTCAGATAATATCAAAGCGGTAAAAGCATCATTTAGCACATTAGGCCCAAACATGTAATAAAATCAGATAACAGATAAAGGCAAAATATAACAATTCATCTAAGCTCGAATTCTGAACCCTGAACCAGAGATTCTGGGTTCTTATCCCCAGCAGAGTCGCCAGAGCTGTCACACCTCCTTTTTTACACACCACCCCGAAAGGTAGTGTATAAGGGAGTTTTTCCAATTTAAGTGACATTATTCGAAATGAGATTATTTATTTATTTTTATTCAGAGTCGCCACTTGGGATAGGTTTGTTTTTTGGTGTCCCAAGTCACTGGTTTATTTTAAATCCCAAGTCGAGGAAAATTCGACTTTCCTTGTGAAGTCTGCGAACCAGAAATTCTGAATAAGGAATTCTGTTAACCCGAGGGAAGGTGTTAGGCACCCCCGGATTCCGTGGTTCTAGCATGGTCGTTTAAACTGTTATAATTGACCCATTATCTGATTTTAATACATGTATTAACCTATGGTGCAATTTTAAACTTTAACCGCTTTATTTCATTATTTTTAAGGAAAATTGCAACGTTATTTAAAATACGTCTCGAACCACGTCACATAAATGCACCCGCGGCTCTTGACGTATTTTATCTAACATTGTTGGGATTTGGATTTGGGTCACATAAATGCGCACCCGAGTTTAGGAAGGTAAATTATTAAACAAGCGCGCCTAAAGCAACTACGCATTCTTAACTTTGCGAGGGCCATGGAAATTCGCTAAATGGCACGCCTCGATTTCTAAAGAGTTAAAATTAGTTAATCGAGGGCCATGGGTTTCGAGATTTTATTTGGCATGGCATGCCTCAATTTATTTCAAAAGACTGTACTCAACTAAAGCAAACTATGGATGTTCATATGTTATTATCGAAAACACTTTGAGATTCAAAGAAAACCACATGTTCGGAAGGCTCATCCTGAAATAAAGATTACAGCATATGAATCTACACCATAACACTAGACACAAGATTATATCTGTTCGAATTAAGCTCAAGATTTGAGAAAACACTTCCATCTCAAGAATCAACAATATAAAACATTAAACAGAGGCAATGAAAATAACTTAAGCAAGCACACGTTCCTGGAGAATTCTGTTTGAAAATGTCGATTACATATTATTGCTATCTTACACACATTAGGACTAAGAAATTATAGGAATGGACAAATGCATTATACAATCATCTCATGTCAAATAAAATGTAAAAGTGCCATGTTTTCCCATCACGTAAGATTCAAAACAAAGCATGGAAAGTTTTCAAAATCCACAAAAATTTAATACATGTTCAAACTGTAACTTTCTCAGTTTCCTCCAGGTAAAGTAAACGAGCAACTTCAAGCATCAGAATGTGGCAGCCTATAGTATTATCACTAGATCCGGATGAAGTGGTAGAAGTCTGACTTTTGGCTTGTAAATCTGCAATTACCTTCTGCTGTATTAAAGTTCATACGTTCCCCAGCCCGTTAATCTTTTTTAAATGCCAGTGATTTATGCATTTATTCGTTTGTTTAAATATACAAAAATAATCCATAGAAAACATGACACAGAAGAGCATGTACTCTTTCTATAGAAAACTCCAAATACCAAACTGTCATCCTAGTCCAAGCATAGCCGCAAAGCAATTTAAATCATTCGAACTACTACTGAAAGCAAATTAGATGTAGATTCAACACAATAATATCCATTCTCACTTTCAAAGAGAAATAATTATAGGAGGGGATTTGTCATGTGTACCTATTTGCAAGGAACATCAGCTAAACAAAATCACATACAGATCTGAAACTGGGTGATGGAGCTCAATCAGTGAAAGAAGAAACAACAGCAGCAAATACAGATTCTTCTTCTTCTTCGTCTTTTCAGAATTTTCAAAGCTTTTGCAACCCAGATTTTCAAAGCTTTCACGGATTCAACAATCAACCATCAGTTTTGGAGAGTCTAAATACTCTTACAATCCCAGAAAATAACAAAACAATCAACTGAAATCCTTTTTTAAAATACTTGAGTGAGAGATGAGCGAGATTAGAGAAAGGGATTTTAGAGGTGGTTCGTTCTCTGTTTCTCTCTATCTCGGCGACGACTAGGATTCAAGGGGGAGGGGTTCTGTTCGTTGGTCTTCAAAGAGAGGAAAGCTGCCCCCTTTTTGAGATGGAAAAAATCTCATGGATATGGTCTTTAGGGTTGGGATTTTATGAGACGGGAATGGGTTATTGGGCCAGGTCGGGTCATAGGGAGATTGGGCTAGTGGGTGTTTAAAGATGGCCCAATTTCAATTCTTTTCCAATTCTTTCTTTTATTTCAAATTTTCCTTTTTTTTTAAATTAAAATCCTACAAATTAAAAATCCTAAATTGTCGAAAAATATGAAATTAAACTAATTAACTAATTATAAAAATTATAAAAACTACTTAATCCTAAATTAAAATTGGAAAATCAATAAACAAAAATTAAAAGACAAAAAATGTAAAAATGAGCTATTTTTTGTGATTTTTAATTTTTTATAAGCAACTACTTACTGGTTAATTCTAAAAATGTAAAAACAAATCCTAAATGTAATGCATGATATTTTGGTATTTTTTTTCATGATTTAAATAAAACTTAATCATGCATAAAATGCAAAAAATTAAAAATTCTACAAAAATTCCTAAAATGGCAAATAATTAACAAAAAATCTATTTTTCTTGGGATTTTATAGGAGTATTTCATATAGGGAAAAAATCACGTGCTTACAGCGGTAATTGACTGCGGTCAGTGGTGCGAAATGTGCCAAAGTGATAAGTCTCTGAAGTTTCAACCGCGGCCGCAACGCATTTTTTGCGGTCCGCGGTACTTTACTGCGGCCGCGATGCATTCTCTGCGGTCCGCGGTGAAGTCCATGCCTGTGCCCGTCTAAGTTTCATAACCGCGGTCCGCGGTGGATTTTCCGCGGCCGCGGTGGGTAAGTAGTGTGGGCCCCAGGTCTTTTTCTATAAATAGACCCCCAGGCCTCATTTTACACTTTTCGCTCATTTTCATTCTAAAGAGACATATGGCACTGTTCATCAAAACCCTAGGTTGCACAAATTCAAGTATTGATTTTCAATCATCTGTATTGCATCTCACTTTTGGTAATTAAAATCTTTCCTTAGTCTTTAATTTTGTTTTAATTTTCTTTTTAATTTCATAGTTCCTACTTCTTCTTCTTCCTTCTTCTCTCAATTTTAACTTAGGGTTAGATAATATAATATAGATTAGGTTTTAATTAGTCAAACATGGTGATTAACTACCTAGTGGGTTGATAATATGTTGATTAGGGCTAAAGTGCACAAAAATTTGAAACCCTAAGTGATTGTGCCTCGTTTTGCCTATCGCGATCGCGCTTGATTTTGTGCGGTCCGCGGTGCCTTACCGCAGCCGCGCATCATTTTTTGTGGTCCACGGTGAACCTGAATCAGAGAATGGGTAGTCTGAACCCCACCTCACCACGGCCGCAGTTGATTTTTTGCACTCCGCGGTGCTTTGCGACCGCGATGCTTTTTCCGCGGTCCGCAGTCAACTATGTCTTCACTGTTTCTTTTGGTACTGATGCTAACAAACATTAACTGAATTCTCCTTGCAGACGATGGTTAAATCAAGAGGAGGTGGTGACAAACAGAAAGGTAGAGCAGAGTCCTCCCGGGGTAGGGGACGAGGCATGATCAAATTGACCCCAACAGTTTGTAAAGCAATTGGGGAAACTAGAAAACTAATCAAGGCTGCGAATAGAGCTGCTTCCCATTCTGAGGGAAGTGAGTACTTGCCCTCCCGGGAGGCATCTGAGTCTGATTCAGTGCCGGAGTATGTACCTGACTTCCCGGAGAGGCTTCGTTTGAGAGATTCACCTACACCTCCAGGCTCTCCTACTGCTCGTGCTTCAGTTCAGGTTCCATCTGAGTCGTCTGAGGGCTCAGCAGAGAGCAGTGACAGTGCAGCCTCTACTTCACCTACAACTTCGTCACCCGGTGAGGATCCCATTGATGAAGAAGAAGGGGGAGAACCCCAGCCCGGGGGTGTGGAGAGAACTAGAAACCCCGAGGTGTGGAAAAGGAGGTTTGTCAGTGAGCTAGCTTACCACAAGTTCCGGGAATGGTGGCCTCTGAGGTCACTTATTATTGAGCGCCAGTTCATACAGAGGGATCTCCTACCTCACAACCCTAATGTGAAGAGGCAATTCAGAGAACGACCGGGGTAGGATTACTTCACCAGCAGGGTGCCAGAGGCAAACGAGAACTTAGTCAAAGAGTTTTACGCCAATGTTGCCCACATCAAGAAGGATACCAAAGTGACTAAAGTGCAGAACTTGAAAGTGATGTTCGATGGAAAAACAATCAATGAGTACCTGGGCTTTCCTGAGGAAGATGAATCATTATACTTGGAGAAATTGGCACTTGATGAGGCATCCCGTCCATGGTTAGCATCATATTTGGCTATCCTGGGCACCACCCCAGCATTGTTGACAGCAGGAGTTGCAATCTTGAGGAAGACTCTAAATTTTGAGGCGAAGGGGTGGGAGACTTTTGTATGCAGCAGGCTGGACCCCACTACCCTTGAAAACTCTATGCTAGTCTCCCAGGCGATATTGGTGGCATCTATTATGGTGGGGTACCCGATCAATGTCGGGAATGTTATGTCTAGGGTGATCTCTAGGGTGGTCAATGAGGGTGACAGATCATACCCCTTCCCAAATTTTCTTACAATGTATTTTGAAGACCAGGAGGTGGAGAAAAGGAGCTTTGACGTAAAGGTAAAACCCAAAATGCCCTTTACCTGGTACAGCCTTAAGGCTGATGACAACCCTAAAGCCAAAGATTCTAAAGGAAAAGCCACTACTTCTACTGGCCAGTCTGATGAGCCAGTAGTGGTAGTCACTGCTTCCCAGCCTTCCCCTGCCATACCAGTTCCCACATCCGGGCCTTCTACTTCCACTGCTCCAGATATCCCATCATCCTCAGCCTACCCATTGACTACCCACCATTTGAGCCAAACCCTTGCCAGTATCAACAACTGGATGCAGGCAGCTACTTCTAAGCTGTCTGTGCTTTCTAGCTCGGTGGCAACCCAGTCTGTACCCCCACAACCACAGGTTCCAGCTTCAGTGGAGGAGACTCTCAAGGAGCTTCTGGACAACCAGAAGAAGCTCCTGGAGAACCAGCAGTTGATTCTGGATGCTATAGGTGCTCACAAAAAGTCACTGAAGGAGCTGACCAAGGAGACAAAGAAGCTGAGAAAGACTCGAGCCTCAAAGGAGTCTGTGAAGGAGTTGAGGGGAGAAGTGGAGAAGATGAAGGCTCCTGATCATCTACCATTTGAGCTACTGTTGCATCAGACTGATCCAGAGCAGGAGCAGGATTTGGAGAGGGCACCAAAGAGGAGGAGGGTGATCCCTCAGGCAGACGATGCAGTGATTGAGTTGGAGGACCCGCAGGGAGGTTCTTCTAGCCAGCCTTAGGTCCCAGAGCAAGCACAGGTTACAAGGATCCAGTCACAGGTCCCCGAGCAGTCACAGGACCCAGGGACCCAGGCTCATGACCCCATGCAGACGAAGGACCCATAGGGAGTTTCCTTTTCTCTCTATTCTCTTTGAGCTTATTTTTGGCTAGTTAGCATTAAGGACAATGCTAGCTTTCATTTGAGGGGGTAGCCCTATTGATTATGTTGGACTGTAATTATGATACTATTTTCATTTTTGTTATGCTTTTTCACTTTTTGGTATGTATATAATTTTACCAGTTTATTTCACTTTTCGTGTTTTACAATCTTGGTTTGTATATAAAGTTACTTCCTTATGTACATATTCATTCCCTCTTATGTATATTCGTCTAAATCCCCTATTGTACATATTCAGTTTACCTTCCGTGTTTTCTTTCATAGCTTCTTACTTCATTTTAGTAGTTTCTTTTTTCAGTTTAGTAGCTTCTTATTTTGAGTTTTGCGTTCAATAAGCCTTTGATTTTCTTAATGCCACGGTTCTTTCCAAAGGTGGAGTTTGTGTGAATCGGGTGGCTCTTCTCGATGATGGATGACATGACAACCTTCTTAAGGGTTTGAGTCTATTTTTTTTTTTTTTGTGTAAATAGTAGCTAGTGAGTAAGAGTGCCTCAAGCAAAGCTTCACTTGGGCCTAACACATTTGCCTTTGACCTTATGGTTAAAAACAAATTGGTGTGTATAGGATGGTGACATTTGTGACCTTGAGACTCTTGTGTTGGCTAATAATCATCAAGTGGTTTTTCGGGACCATTTGCGTTGCTCAAATCTTAGCTAAGGTTGTTGTGGGCCCCCGACTCTGTCTCGTTAGCAATCCTATAGCTTGTGTGGTGAGAATTTGATTTGCAAGTCCAAGTCCCGTGCCATTGAGTCTAGAACTTGCCCTGAATGTTTGTCTAGGCGAAATCGTAAGTGTAGTTTGACTTGAGAAGTGATTATAGGCTCTCCTTGATCCGAATGGTATTCTTGAAAACATCCATATCCTACCAATGATAATATCCCTAGCCAACCCCTTTGAGCCATAGCCCTTCTTCTTTCAAAGACCATGATACAAGCCTTTACCCATTCTAAAAAGACCCTCTCTTGACACCCGATCTTTCCTTAGCACAAGTCAAAAGCATAAGTTTGGGGGGGAGACAAGGAATGCAAAAAGTGGTAAAAGGTGCAAAACGAAGAAAAGGAAAGGCAAAAAGAAAAAGAAAGAAAATCAAAAAGTCCAAAAGAATGAACAATGTTGAAGAAATGAAGGGATTCAATAAATTAAAAATATGAAAGACGTCGAAAGATCAGAAAGGAGAAAAAGGTTTGAAATGAACAAGAAAGAGTGACGGTGTGTCTCTCTAATCCCCAAGAAAGAAGTAAATGACTCAAAGAGTCAAGAGAATGTGTGCCAAAATGAAGCAAATGAAGTGCTAAAGGGAAGATAAAACCTTCTTAAACCAAATATATCCTACCCTGAACCAAAAGACTTCATTGTATCCCCACAAAAGCCCTATAAGATTTTGAGTTGAGTGAAGCTTACATTAGTGGTGACTCACATAAGGGGCAAGTTTATGGTATTTAGAGCCGGACTTGTGACCTTTCTTTGAGAGAGAAGAGTGTGTTTTCCATAATCCTCGTTCTGAGTGATACAATCTAAAAGTGAGGTTTTGCTTAAGGAAGAGTGAGGAGTATGAGTTTGGATTCCACAATGACCAAAGCAGTAGAAGGAGCTTCCTTGATGAGTTGAGTCAACTCTTGATGCTTTTGTGTCGCACTAAAACCATGGTGCTTAAAAAAGGTTGAATGTTGTTAATAATTCATTTGAGTTGAGGGCAATTGTTAATCCCAATTGATGTTAGATGAGGTCACTTTAGGTCAACTGAATTTTCTTGGTTTTATTCTTAAGTGGGACTTACTTTGTTTGCTTGAGGACAAGCAAAAGCTTAAGTTTGGGGGAGTTGATAACTAGGGATTCTAGTCTATTTTATACTCCTTTTTGCTTGAGTTTTGGATTAAAAGTGTATACAAGTAATCTCGAAGGCTTACATGTTGTGTTTGTTTGCAGGGTTTGATCAAAAAGTGACAAAGAAGTCTAAACTAGCTCAAAAAGGAGTGAAATCTGCACAAGTGCCAAGAACAAGTCAAAGCACAACTGACTGCAGTAAATCCACTGCGGCTGCAATAAACCACCGCGGCCGCAGTCCATTTAGTGCGGTCCGCGGTGGAAAAGATTAGAGAAGATGCAATCTTGGAGCTTCAAGCAATGCGGTCCGCGGTAGATTCTTCGCGGCCGTAGTCCATTTGTTACGGTCCGTGGAGAAGGGATTCAGAGACCTAGGATTTGGGAAGTTTCAAGACACCGCTAACCGCGGTGCATTTTGTGCGATAGCGGTAAAGCCATCGCGGCCGCGGTCGATTTATTGCGGTCCGCGGTGGCTAGATTCAAAGAACAAAGATTTGAAGCCAAAAAGCCTGACCGCGGCCGCGGTCCATTTTTCGCAGTCCGCGGTGCCTCCGTCAGGGGTATTTTTGTCCAGAAAATTCGGCCTTGCATAAATACTTCTTTTTCAGTTTTTAGGGTATCTTATCTGTAGCTGAGCACGTGAAGGCCGTTTTTAACCTATTTTGAGTAATTTTGTAGCTATTTCAACATTGAATCTTCAAATCTTAGCTTGTAATTATATTTTATGGGTTATTATTCATCTCAATATCTGATTTCTTCCATTAGTATGAGTAGCTAGACCCATTAGCTAGGGTTGTGGCTCAACCCTAGTGTGGGTATTTAATGGGTCTCTTGTTTTAGGGCTTAGATGTTTATGGGTGGTTGATATTTGGCCCGATTTGTGTTTTCCATGTTGAATTAGTGGTTGCAAACACTAATTTGTGCCTTTTTGACTTGGGCTCTTCTTGAGAAAGAGAGCTTGATTCTAGGAAAATCAGGCCAACAAGGAATTGGGGCGTATTCAAGAGATTGATAGCCCCAATTAAAGGGTTAAACGTAGAGATAGTAATACCCGACTTGAGCCTATATTGCTTGCACAATTTTGACACCCAATTGGTCTTGAGAAAGCCAATGAGGGCAAAGTCACTCAAGCTACCGAGAGGTATAGAGTGAGTAGTTTCGTGCATTGGCTATATCGCAATCCCAAACCTAAAAACTATGCCTTAGACTTTAGAACCCGTCAAGTATTCACCTAGGGCAAAGTCACTTCCCTAGTGCCTTTCCATAAATAAAGAAAACCGCACAAAAAGATATCATACTTAGCGTAATTTCAACATCATTAGTGATAATCTAGATTAGTGAACCATCAACACATGTTTAGAAGTGTAAACAATTACTTTGCATGTTACTAGTATAGATAGGAACTCAATTTCCAAACAATCTAGCTCCCTGTGGATTCGATCCTGACCTTTTCGGGTAAAAGCTGCATCGACCGCTCTTGCTACTTTGTAGTGGTGTAGGGTTGGACCCGATCAATCCTCACCTATTGGCGCTCGCTTTGCTAAGCACCTCTAGGAAGTTAAAACATACTTTCAGTGCCACCCCATATGTGTTGTAACTACTTACGTATTGAGGAACATAATGCATAAAATCGAGCTCTCGGGACGACTGGCCAAATGGGCCGTGGATATTAGCGTACGATATCGAATATTGACCCTCGACCGCCATCAAATCTCAAATTTTGGCAGACTTTGTGGCTGACTTTACGCCGGCCCTAATACC